CTGGTCTCCTGCGGAACACATCCATAGCCCTGGAATGCAAGGTGCTCGTGGGGAGCGCAGTGGCTTCTCACAGTTGACATCCAGCCTGGGCAGCTCCTCAAAATACCAACCTTGACTACAGTTGTCACCACAGAGCCCCAGAAACCTAGTCCTGTTGGAGGCTAAAGATGAATCATGTGGCTTTGTTCCTGTAAACATGCACACAAATGCATACCAACTTGTGAGTCAGGGGAATGTTTTTGAAAAGATATTAACATTCAATTGCCACTAACTGATGTTTTCATTGGTTTAAGTAAATAAACTGCCATTTGCACATAGTGGGTACCTTTAATCATGTTCATTTGCTAAAACAGGAATTTTTTTTTCTTTCATGGATGTTTATTATATAACAGGAATTTTAGATGGATTCTTTTAAGCACATTGTTTGGATTTATTCTCAACCACACACACACACACACAAAACACAGAGTCAATACAGCCCTTCAATTGCACAGGGCTTGGGGCAGGCATGGGTCGTGTTTAAAATCCCTGAGAACATTGCCTTCCATGTTAGAACTCACTGGGTTCATTCTACATGTTCCACAGAAGATCCCAATGGAAGTAATAGAAGTAAACCCCAGCTGCCCACAACAACACCATCTCATTAAAGCCTCCATCATTTTTCTCTCTTCCCTTTATCCCTCTTCTGCCTCCCTTTAATTTCCTGGGGTTGGCTCCCTAGTAAAATGACTGAACAGAAGTCCTTGCTTAGAGTCTGAGGAACTCAAACCAGGCCATCCTGATGGGGGATTTCTATTTTTGCCTTGCCATTTTTATTTTTACATCTACCGTGAATGTCTTTCATTCAGCACTCTTGATTTTCTTTTGAGGATTGCCACCCTCACTGCAGTCTGTACTATAGACAAAGGAATTAGTTATTATCGTTATCACTTCCCAGCATTTTATTATGAGCAATACACCACTCTTCTAATGTAGAACCTGCCATATATCAGTCATCTGTTTACTTTCAGGAAATTAGAAGGATGTCCTTGCTAGGAATCAATAGCCACGTGTATTTTAATGGGAGTAAACTGGAAATCTTATAAGCTAGAAATCTATTAAGTAATATTCTATTTTAACAGATCTGAAGTGAGAAAATAAAAGTTTTCCTGTTAATATCCAATTGCTGCATGTTAGGCACACTGTATCCAGATAAGGGTGAAGAGGACACAGGGCAGGGAAGGTTTTGCTCTCCAGGGACTGTCCTGCATGATGAGAAAACAATTTTGTACATTCTGTGAGCAACTGGCAACGTACATTTTTAAGATGTGCAGCAGCCAGGCATTGGTGACTCGTACCTATTCAGGATGCTGAGATCTGAAGATCAAGATTAGATGTCAACCCCAGGCAGACAAATCCCCAAGAGCAAAGAGCTAGAAGTAGAAATGTGGCTCAAGTGCTAAAGCAAACCTAGTATGTGTAAGGCCTTGAGTTCAAACCCCAGTACACCAAAATAAGGGGGAGGGGAGCAAGGACAAAATCTTTTTGTTTTTTTAATCATTTCTGTTTGCAGAGTGGACACAGCCCTTTAAGTAATGTATTGTGAGACCTGGGCAGGAAACTGCCCCAGCAAGGTGCCTTACAGAAGAGAAAGCTCCTGCAGGCCTTGCAAGTTGTTTAGCCCAACCCTTCTTCAAAGGACAATGCCTGAGGCCCTGCAGCTGCCCTGGCCAACAGGAAATGCTATGAGCAGTGATGTGGCCCACTGCCCAGCAGGACAAGTACTATGTCCTCTTACTAGGTTTTCTTTTCTGTGGACTGAACTGTGGCCAAAAGCCCATGATCCTTAGCTCCCAGTCAGTTGCCGGCCTCTGAGGATCCGGGAAAAGGAGCTAGAAGAATCTGGAAGGAGCCCATGGGGAGGAGTTGTTTAGAATACATGTTCTAAGTGTTCTGCACAGGATTTGGATTCTTCTCCCTGTACTGCAGTACCTCTGCTGCTGTTTTGCCAAGAGGGCCCAGCACTGTGCCCCAATCACATCTGCAAAGAGCAGAAAAAGAATGTCAGCCCACAGCCCACATTCTACTCACCTCGTTTTTCTTCAAATCATCATGACCACGGACTGCCAGCAGCCACTCCACCCCTCCATCTCTAACCCTGTGCTTCCCACAAGACTCCTCCAGGAAACTAGAGAACATGGTGCAAGAGGCTTCCTAATGTATGGATTCCTAATCTCTGCAACCCTTAGGTGCTAATTTATGTGGGAAAAGGATCTTTGTAGTGTGATGAGGTTAGGGAACTCAAAATGGAACATGATCCTGGTTATCTGAGGGACACTACAAAACACAGAGGCAAAGGGAGATTAGACACTCACAAGTGGAGAAGGTGATGGGACCACAAAGGCTGAGATCAGACTCTCAGACCTGGTGCTAGTGGCTCATACCTGTAACCCTAAGCTACTCAGGAGGCTGAGATTTCAGGATTGTGGGTCCAGACATGTGTCTCCAATTAAACAGCAAAAAAGCAGGAAGTGGAACTGAGGTTAAATGAGTGCTAGCTCTTAGCACAAAAGCTCAGGGACAGTGCCTAGACCATGAGTTCAAGCCCTAGTTCCAACACAAAAACAAAACAAAAGCACATTAATTGTGGGCCTGGGAAGGTGGCTCAGTGGTAGAGCGCTTGCCTTGCGTGCCTGGGGCCCTGGGTTTGATTCCTCAGCACCACATAAGCAAAAAGAAAAAAAAACGGAAGTGGTGCTGTGGCTCAAGTGGTAGAGCGCTAGCCTTGAGCTGAAGAGCTGAGGGACAGCGCCCAGACCCAGAGTTCAGGCCCCACGACCAGACCCAAAAAAAAAAAAAGCACATTAATTGATTTCTCAGTTTCTGGAAGCTGGGAGGTCCAAGGCCCTAGGATTTTGGTATCTGGTAAGAGCCTGCTTTCTGGATCATAACTGTCAAGTCCTTGCTGTGTCCTCCACCCTCCATCCTCATGACTTTGTTACCTTCTAACAGGCCCATCTTCGGATGCCATCAAATTGGTAAGGAGCTTCCAACACAAGGTGCAAACATTCAGACCAGAGCAATACCTGAAACACTGTATAGAGTTTCATTCTCCAGTTATAACTTTTTTTTAAAAACCTGCCACAAAGTGTTGCTTCAGCTTGCAAACCTAGCTACTTGGGAGGTATAGTTTTACGGTATCAAAGTTCAATGCCAGCCTAAGCATAAAATTTCATGAGACTCCAACCAAAGATTGTGAGTACACACACACACACACCTGCACACAAACTACAGAAAAAACGGATAAGCAAAATGTGATTTTTTTTGGGGGGGGTCCGGTCGTGGGGTCTGAACTCGGCCTAGGCGTTGTCCCTCAGCTCTTCAGCTCAAGGCTAGTGCCCTGAGCCGCGGCGCCACTTCCAGCTTTTTTCTTTTTGCTTATGTGGTGCTAAGGAATTGAACCCAGGGCCTCAGGCATGCAAGGCAAGCGCTCTACCACTGAGCCACCTTCCCAGCCCCCCAAAATGTGATTTTTGTTATAAAACATTTCTGGGACTGGAAGTGTTGCTTAAGTAACAGTACTAGCCTTGTAATTGCAGGCTCTGAGGTCAATCTCAGGTCTTGAATTCAATCCTTGCAAAAATAAGTAAACATTATTATTTAGTCATAAAAGAGAATGGAGTAGAATTGGAGAATGGCAAGTGGTAGAGTGCCTTCCTAGCAAGTTCAAAGCCAAATTCAAAAGTCCAAGAGCTAACAAAGAGGGGACTGGGGGAGAGAGAAAGCAAGAAAGAGAGAGGGGGGAAGGAGGGAAAGAAAGGAAGGAAGGAAGGAAAGGAAGGAAGGAGAAAGAGGGAGGGAGGGAGGGAAAGAAAAAAAATAACAGGAAGAAAATGCAAGCTTGGTAAATCTTAGAAGCAATATGTTAAGTGCAAGAAGCAGTCACAGATCGTTCGCCTGCCGGATGATTCCATGCATACAGAATCGGTCATGGAAGCAGAAGGTTAAATTCATGATTTCCAGGGCTGGGAGAGTGGAGGACAAATAGAGTGTAACTACTAATGCCTGGGGGCTCGGTGCGGGAGTGATGAAAGTATTCACAGAATAGTTCACTTTAAACAGGAAATGTTTATGGTATCTCAGGTTTTTAATATTTATTTATTAATTTGTGATGCTGAGGGTCGAGTCCTGGGCCTCCTGCTTACTGTGCAAGTGCTCTACGGAACAGCTATTTCCTCAGACTATGAAGCTGATAGACAGACAGATGATAGATTTGTAAAGCAAAATGATATCCATGCCCTATTTTAAGCACACTTAATTCAATACGGAAAATTTTAAATATATGGTAAGTTTTTGAGAACACCGGCTTTGTGTGCTGACTTGGGTGGCAATGTGGCTGGCTGGGGAGTGGGTGCGTTCCAAAACCCGCTTCTCGGCGGGGATGACGTCCCTCCGGGTAGCAGCTTCAGAAAAGAGGGAGGCGAGAAGGACGACCCGCTCCCCGGCCCCTCTGCGCCCTTTCCTGGTCTCTCATTCTTGTTGTGCACTGCGCACCCCTGGGCGCCCAACGCCCCAGCCCTCGGCCGCGCCGCTGTGCGCGCTGTCTGGCTCTGGAAGTGGGATGACTTTGGTGCCGGGACACCGTCCCTTCCTTACAGGGACCGGCGAGGCGCGTGTCCTCGGGGGAGCCCGGCGGCTGCCCGCTCCCAGGGACCGCCAAGGGTCTCGCGGACTCCCCCGCGCCGCATCGGCCCCGCGGGCCGCGGGGCGGGGGCGCAGCCTTTGTGCGGCGGCGGCTCCGGGCTCCGCCGCTGGGGGGCGGCCTGCGCCCCACCGACCCCCGACAATAGCGTGAGGGTGGGGAGCCGTGCGGTCCCGGAAACTTTTCCCGAGGATCGCCGCCGCCCCCAGAGCCTGGGAAGCGGAGGGGGCGCGCCACCCCTGCGGTGGAGACCCGGGGCGCTGTGCCCGGACCAGGGGCGCCGTGCGGGAGGCTCCGGCTCGCGCCGGGCTGGGCGCGCCGAGCGGTGCCATGGAGGAGGCGCCCAGCCCCGCGCCCGGCCCCGCGCTCGGGGACTGGGACTACCTGGATCGCTGCTTCGCCCGCCACCGGGTCTGCATCTCCTTCGGCCTGTGGATCTGCGCCTCCTGCTGCTGGATCGCCGCCCATGCGCTGTAATGGACCCGGGGCGCGGGGCGCGGGGCGGGGGGCGCGGGGCGCGGGGCGGGAGGGACAGGGGACAGGTCGGGCAGGGGCTGGCCCCAGAGGAAACGAGAGGAGGACATAGAGGAGCCCTGCGGTGCACAAGCCTCGCGTTAAATCTAGCGTTTCTCTGTAGACCGAAGTCGGATCCGTCTTTCCGGATTCCACGCACGGGAGAGCCGGGCCCGGAGCCAGCAGCGCCAGGCAGGGTGGTGCAGTGAATGCGGCCGGGACTGGGCTCTGTTGTCAGCCCTGCTCTATTGGCTGGTGGCGTGAGCTGGGCAAGTGATTAGCCTTTGCTCCTCGCTTAAATGAGGATAATATCGCGTAAGAGGGAGGGGAGTGTTACAGGAGGCATATTGCCAAAGTAAGTGCCCATTGAACGTAACCATGGCTCTAGCTCTGCCCCCTAACCTTGAAGACGTCAAGTCTCTCCATGCTTCTGGCCTCGATTTACCCAAAGACCTCCTAGCTGGGACTCTGGTGGCCAAAACCCTGGTCTCTGTAGCCTGGGTTCCAAAAGGTTTTGGGCAATCCTTTCCCAGGAACAGAAATTCAGCAGCAATGCCCAAGATGGTACCACCCAGGTATTCCCAGGCAGCGGAGACAGTACGATTCCCCTCTTCTTACACATTGACTATTCCCCTCAGATTTGACATAGTGCAGTCTGCAGCCCTAATGCCCAGGAACTGGAATACATTAAAATGACACTTCGGACAAGTAGTGTATTTATTCACTTACCCAGATCCCTGCCACAGGCCTGTGAGGTCTTCACATGTACAGGGAAGGAGCCTCCAGTTATTGAGAAGTTAAATAAACTCCCGAAGTGACATGTCCAGATGGAAACTCTAGGCCCTGTTATGCAGGGGCAGAACTTCAGGGCTGAAAGCTCTCCAGGTCAGAAGTTGGAAACTAAAAGAGCACTGTGCACATTTGTTTTTTTGTTTTTGTGGTCGTGGGGCCTGAACTGTGGGGCCTGGGGCGCTGTCCCTCAGCTCTTCAGCTAAAGACTAGTGCTCTACCACTTGAGCCACAGTGCCACTTCTGGCTTTTTCTGCTTATGTGGTGCTGAGAAATCGAACCCAGGCCTCATGCATGCAAGGCAAGCGCTCTACCACTGAGCCACCTTCCCAGCCCCCACTGTGCACATTATCACCTCTGTTTTTCAGCCACCTGGAAACCAAAGCATGAGAGGTCAGGGGACTCCTAAGGGTGCCAGGTTGGCTGGTCTAAGAGCAGAGCCTCTGCCAAACTTCCTGAATATCCATCTATCACACTTCCAAGCGGTGGCTACCTGGGTGGGCTAAGGTGGACCAGGATCTCTGTCCTCTGAGATCTGGGAAGTTTATTGAGAGCACGAAGGCCCAGAACAAAGCCTTCAGTGTGAAGCCAGAAGACCTGCTTTCAACTCACCTTACCAGTCTAAAACTCAGTTTTCTCCTTGCTCATGTGGGAGGGCTGACATAAAGTATTGCTTATTTGGGTCTAACTTTGATGGTCTCTAAGTTAAAGTTGTCATTCTTTTGGTTTTGGATTGGTTTTAGGAGCCCAGAACTTTGATTAATGGTTAATGATCCCACTGTGAGCTTTGAAGGCCTAGACTGAGCAGGTCAGAAAATGCTTAGGAACCCAACAGCCTTCTATTACCAAACCTTTTCCCAAGGGGTGACATTCAGAATCTAATGATGTGGAGTGAGTACCACCTTCTGGTTAATGGAAATGAAACCTCAACTGCTGTCCTGCCTCAGTGTTTCTGAAGAAACACAGCAAGGAGCTGTGAGAAACACAGCAAGGCGCTGTGTATAAGAGTATAAGGTCAGGAGTATAAGATCAGAGGACCGTGGTTTGAAGCCAGCCTAGGCAGAAAGGTCTGTGAGTCTTCATCTCCAATTAACCAGCAATAATCTGAGCTGCAAGTGTGGTTTAAGTGGTAGAATGCTATCAGAGCAAGCAAGCTGAGTGCAGGGACCTGCGTTCAAATGCTGGTACTGAGTGGGTAGTTACAATCATTATATTCAATGAACATATGTGAAAATGGAGCCACTTGAGGGTACAAGTGGGCTTAGGAGAGATGGGGAAGAATGACGGAAGGGGTGACGTTGACCAAGATGCATCTACTCCGAAACTGACATGTTGAGTTGAAACTCCTTTGTACAACTACTTACAGATAATTTAAAAAAATTACAAGGAAGCCGGGCGCTGGTGGCTCATGCCTGTAATCCTAGCTACTCAGGAGGCTGAGATCTGAGGATCGCGGTTCAAAGCCAGCCCGGGCAGGAAAGACCGTGAGACTCCTAACTCCAATAAACCACCAGAAAACTGGAAGTGGCGCTGTAGCTCAAGTGGTAGAGCGCTCGCCTTGAGCTGAAGAGCTGAGGGACAGTGCCCAGGCCCAGAGTTCAAGCCCCACGACCGACAAAAAAATATAATAAAATAAAAAATAAAAATAAATAAAAAAATTACAAGGAAATGGTACTGACGGTTTTGCCTGGGGTTGACGCTGAGATCCTTCTACCTACATCCTCCCATGTAGCTGAGATGACAGATGCATGCCACGTGTTATTGTTGAGATGGGGCCTAGACTGGCCCCCAGTCTCAATCTTACCAATCTCCTCCTTCCAAGAAATAACATTACAGGTATGAGCCTGGCACAATTGACCTTTTTAACGTTGGCTGCTGGCTCTGCCATTGGCTGAAGTGCTACTGTTGGAACCCTCATGATTGTCTTTTAGACAACCAAACCTGATGGCTAGTGAGTCAAATAGAGAGATCAGTCATTGCACTGATCGATTTGGGGAGAGTCAGTCATCAGTAGAGGATGCTGCTGCTTCCCTGCCTCTGCCAGGGGCTTCTAGGCCAGTGGCTTGGGATTCTTCTGACCATTTCTTCTCTATCTATAAAATAAGCTGGGAGACACCTGCTCCAGGCTTGGGGAAGAATGTGCTTCCTTGGAACATAAAGCCACAAGTGCCTTTTTAAAGGTATCTGTTTTGGTGTGTCCCCAGATTCACAGCTTCTGTGTTATATCCATGCTTCTATTACCCAGGCTTCTTTACCTGAGATGTGCAAAGAAATCTGGACAAAGCCAGTCAGCACTGTGTTCTGCATGCTGTCTCCTGAGTAGTCTGTGTGATACCATCGGGGCGATTCTGGCCAGACAGCTTGCCATCCAGGTTTGTGTGACCCTTGGGGCCAGTCCAACACGGGTGTGACTGTCCTTTCTCTGCTGCAGCCACAGTGGCTTCTCTATTTCATCATTATGTAAGGCAGAGTTTACCTTCAGAGTGTCTGTTCTGTCATTTCTGTTCCCCCCTCCTCAATATTCTTGCTCCCTACCCCACACGACTCATTGGTCACTTTCTGTAAAGCGTATTCAAAGTCACCTTCAACAATAAGATCTCTCAGGAGGCTAAAATCTGAGGATCTCTGCTTAAAGCCAGCCCAGGCTACATAGCAAAACTCTGTCTCAAAACACCCAAACAGGAGGAGGGCATCCCATTTCTTGGTACCTGATGAGATAGAACGAGAATACACTCAAGTCCAAAAGTCATAGCTAGTGTTTATTGAATACTTGCCTACATCCTTGACACTAAAGACCCATTGTTTTACAGATGAGGAAACTGAGGCACAGATTCAGTGGCTGAGCCATATTTACACAGCGAAGACTACCCATGCAATAGAAAGAATGTGAAATAAGAAGCAAAGGGCTGGACTCCTGCCTCCATCTGTTCTGACAGGCATCTTTGCAAATGGGATGAACCATTTGGGCACTCCATCCCCTCTTCAAAGAGACCTTTCTCAGGGCAGGGGGCAGGCAGGAGGTGTGGCTTACAGATGGCAGTACTAAACCAGTGTTGCTCATGTGGAAGAGGGGATCCTGAAGGTGAGGTGCTGAGGTTCTAGAAAAAGATGCTTGAATGTCAAAACTCTATTTCTATTTGTTCCCAGGTTTTCACTGGTGCCTACCTGGCAGCTGTTGACTTAGTGAGCTTTCTGTTCATTCTCTTCCCAGTCTGCAGATCCAAATCTAACTCGGGTGAGTATGTGGCCATCCATTCCTGGTCTCATTCATCCATGCATTCATCGGGATGCTAAGTGTCAGCTCCTTGTCATATCCTGAGCTGGGTCCCTTCCAGGCACAGGCAAACTGAAAAAAGACCCCAACTCCAGCCACATGAGAAAGTGAAGGCCCTAAATAGTTACTAGAGCTTTGGGCAGGTGTGGTCAGCCAGGGAAGCCATGGACTTCAGATATCAGGAAAGTACTGGGACTGGGCACACAGCAGGCATTCCAGGTGAGCAGAATAGCACAGGCTCATGCCAAGAGGAGCAATGGCGCATGATCTGGAGATGAGTGGAGAGATCTCAGCATGCAAATCTGAGTGGCCAAGCAAGGATACCATCCACAGGTGTGGACCATCCATAACAGAACAGGAGCAGGAAGTGACAGGAGGGGTGAGGAGCTCTGAGTATGTGGGACTGGAGGCCCCTGAAAACAGGCATCAGTGTGCTTGGACCCTTGTCCAAAAGAGGGAATGCTTGTGTCAATGGTACTGTAACATGTTGTCAGTGGGCGCTCCTAGAAAATGGTCCTAGATCTGCACAAAAAAGTGTGTGTGTGTGTGTGTGTGTGTGTGTGTTTTACTGGAGCTTGAACTCATGGCCTCATGCTCTTGCTTAGTTTTTTCAGTCAAGGCTGATACTCTACCACTTAAGCCACACGTCTACTTTCAGCTTTGTACTGTTTATTGGAGGTAAGAGTCCCTTGGACTTTTCTGCCCCAGCTGGGGGTGGAGAAGGGTGGGGGGGAATGGTAATGGGGAGCTTCAAACTGGGATCCTCAGATCTCAGCCTACTGAATAGCTAGGATTATAGGCATGAGCCACTAGCACCCAAGGCAACATGAAAAACTACTGCTCACTGCTGTTTGTCCTGCTCACAGGGGAGGTGTTGTGGCACAGACATATCACTGGCCCATGTGGCTCCTGGGGCCTAGAACTGGCCAGACACCTGTCTGCGAAGAGCTGGTGCTAACCCTACCCCTGGGCCCAGATGGTTGTACGGTAGTTTCCCTGCCCTCTGCAAGCCCTTGAGTTATTCTCTTCTTCCAGAGGCTTTGCCTCCCCATCTACCCAGTTGGCTCTGTTCATCTTCCTGGGCTGAGAGGACTTTATCTGCTATCAAAAGCCTGTGTGCTGACACTAGAGCTTCTCCTAGATTAGGACTCTCAAGGACAGGCCCCATTCCCTAGCCACACAGAGCAGAACCATGACAAGCTGGGTGAACACATGGGCCAGTGATATGTCTGTTTGGTGTCTCTTGCAGGGCAGGACACCCGGGAGAGAAAGAGGAGGCGGCTCAGGGCCACTGTGTTTGTCCTGACTCTGCCGCTGAGCCTGGGCTCAAGCTGGGCTCTCTGGGCTTCTGTGCCCAAGATTTCAACCCCTGTTCGAGGCTCACAGCGGAGGCTGTTGGGGAAATTGCTGCAGGTAAGGCTGAGCCACCCCAGGGAGGGTGTGGGTTGGTCCTGGGCAGTGCCTTGGGTGGACTGGCGGAGGGGGATAGGGATTTCTGGCCCTCAGAATGCTGACAGTGTGTCATCTATTCTTGCAGGACAACACTGAAGTCTTCGGTTACCTGCTGGGCGGTATTGCTGCCCTCGGTTCCTGGGCATCTCGCATCCCCCCACTCTCCAGAATTGTGAGGCTGGGGTCGGGGGGAGGGCGGGGTGGAGCAAAGGGAGTTGGGACGGTGGCAGGTCTTAGGGCACCAGGAATATTCTAGAGGCTCTGTGTACTATGTATACATGCATATGTGGACTTCGATTTTTCTGAGGAGCCACAGTGACCAGGGCAAGGGGTGCATGTGGAGAGCCCGCGGCTCAGCCAGTGGGACCTGAGGCCTGTGATAGGTCTTCAGGGAAGGCCTGTGCATTCTTCCCTATTTCCTACCAGGAAAAGCACTGGGAGTGGGGGTGGGGAAGAAGGGGACAAACAAGGGTGCCACTAGAGATTGAGAAGGGTGTAGAGACCAGACACAGTCAGCTACTGGGCTCTGATTGGCATGTCTGGGATGAGGAAAGCCCTGTTGGCCAATCCTGTTGGGCTAGAGAGGTGAGTTGCCCCTTGGGGGAGCTCACAGCATCATGGATTAGGCAGATGTGTCGACAAGATGTCAATGATGTAAGAAAGGGAGAAGTAGGTGTTTGAGATTTCAGAAGAGGGAGAGAAGGGATTTGAGCTCCATATGCTATTCAAGGGAGCCAGAGGAGAAATCACACTGCTAGGCTGCAGGTGGTGGCAGCTGTCCTGGAGGCTCAAAAGGGAAGGTGGGGCAGGTGAGGGAAGGGCAGTCTGGGCTCTTAAGGGGGCACAGGACAGTGCCTGAACAACAGCAACCAATGAGGCATGCATAGTGGCTGTGCTGCCAGGTAATCTCTGTAGATGACTCCACCACCTTAGCCCCGTCTCACTGACAGGAGCAGCACCAGCCCTGACAGCAAGAGATGAAATGGCCCACTGTTTAGCATAAGAAGAACCCCTGGACTAGGAACATCATGGCTGAGTAGGAGGCCCAGGGAAGGCAAGTGGCTAGTGATGACTTGTGTGAACACAGAAAGGGCCCAAACCTGGGTCTTAGCCACAGGAGTCCTGTCTCCAGACTAAGCAAGGGATCAGAGAACCCTGAACCTGTGTGTCCAAGGAGGGATTTGGATAGGGAAGCCTTTGAGGGAGCCAGAACAGTGCCTGGCCACCAAGGTTAGTTCCCTAAGGCTGGTTGTAGTCAGCCAAGCTGGAGTTCTGGATCTCTGGCCAAACTGAGCTGTGCCCTGTGCTGGGTAGAAAGGGCCCAAGGGAGAGGGGTTCATCTCTACTCTCAGCCTCTGGGACAGGGCCCAGGGCCCATCTCTGGTGGATGAGCCATGGGCTCTCCACTTTACTCTGGCTCTGCGCATAAACCCAAACTATGATTGTCTCTGTTCACTGCCTTTAAGCAGATAGTGGCCACCTGCCATCTGCTTGGGAATAAAAGTAGCCAAATCTGAGATGTCAAAACCAAGGTTCAAAGCCAATCCAGGTAGGCAAATCCTGAAGCTTGTTATATACAGTTAACCAACAAAAAGACAGTGTGGCTATACAGTGGTAGAGCACCAGCCATGAGTGAAAAAGCTGAGCACAAGCATGAGAACCTGAGTTCAAGTCCCAGTGCTGGCGCGCACACACACACACACACACACACACACACACACACACACACACATACACACACACACACACATGCAGAGAGAGAGAGAGAGAGAGAGAGAAGTTCAGGTGCAGAATATAATGTTACATTCCTGAGGATTCTTTGAGCTAAAAAAAAATAGGAGAAAATCACACATCACATGCCTTTTTTTTTTTTTAGTTTTTTCCTCCATTCCTTAGCCAAGGTCTGACTATTTTTAAATATAATCAGCTAAGGAACAATCTAAAATATACACATTTTATATTTGTATATATAAATTATGTGACTTCATGTAATTAATGTATAGTTTTGTGTATACACATATAAATGCATATATAATGATTTTGTACCTCTAAAATAGATAAGTATTGCATATGTTTCTTATTTTTAAACCCATAAGCCCATTCCTTGTTCTCCAGAATTGTCACCTTGGCTTCAGAATTGCCAGAATATTCTGTCATTTTCCTGATCTTTCCTTTTTGACCTGGTTTAGAATTATTGGTCCCAGCAAGAGAAGGGCTGGGCATAATTCAGATCCCCTCACTACTTTTCCCAGCTAGGGTCTTAGAGACCCTGCCTTGTATCAGAAGTTGGGCACTGAGATGCCAGGGTCTGCCTGTTCTCAGGAGCTCTCTGAATATGTAGAGAGCAAGGAGTGTTTTGTTTTTTGTTGTCCTTTGTTTTGTTTTCTTGGTGTAGTACTGGGGTATGAACTCAGAGTCTCTGCTTGGCTTTCTCACTCAAGGTTGGCCTCTATCAGTTGAGCCACACTTCCACTTCCAGCTTTTTGGGGAGGTGGTTAATTGGAGTTAAGAGTCTCCCTGATTTGTCTTCCAGCAGTCTGGCTTTGAAGTGAGATCCGCAGATCTCAGCCTCCTAAGTAGTTTACGATTTATAGGTCTTAGGGCCCAGCAAAAGCAGAATCCAGCTGAGCAAAAGGCAATGTGTTGGAGAGATGTATTAGGTATGATTGAGCCCAGATGAGAGTTAGTCGCTCTCCATAGTGGGCAAATGATAAGAATAGGCTTCTGGACCCAAGGTTTAAGGTAGATTTTTGAAAGATGAATAGGAGTTTGCCAGGCAAAGGTGCAGCTTGACCAAAAGTGAGATGTGTAACAAAAACAACACCCTTGGGGAGTGGCCCTGGATACGGGGCTTGCTACCCCACATACTGTGCCACTGAGGAGCCTGGGCCCCCAAACCTACTTTCCTCCTGCCAAGCCCCTTCTCTTTCTGCCTAGTGCCAGGGGAAGTCACTCCCCTTCATCCACCTGTGGACGCGGTTCCTGTCGGCTCTGGCTGGCCTCCTCTATGCCTCAGCCATTGTAGCCCATGACCGGGAGCCTGAGTACCTGCTACGGGCCACGCCCTGGTTCCTGACTTCCCTTGGAAGGGCTTCGCTGGACCTCACTGTATCCACCCCAGGCTGGAGGCTGGGGGAGGCCGGACTGCCTGGGTCCCAGCCGCACCCTGCCATGTCCTTTGTCGCTCTGTATAGGCAGTATCTGGCCCAGCACTTAGGGATGGTGTGAAGCCTGTGGCAGGCAGCCACCAATACCATTATTTACAATGATTATTCTTTAGGCTGGAGCTCTCTGAAACAACAAAGAAGAGTGGGAAGGTTCCAGGCCTTGGAGTCAGAGACCTGGGTCAGTTCTCTCCCTGTCTCTCTGCCTTAACTTTCTCTCAGGGCTGGAAGAGGTATCTGCATGCTGACCTGCCATGCAGGGTCCTTCCTGCCTTCCTCCTCTGCTTTCTGGCACTGGATCCTGTGGTGGAGAAACAGGTGAAAGCTGACCAGTGCTGCTGATGGTCAGTGGCTGCCTCATGGCTCCTTGCTGCTTCCTGAGGTGCCACACGGATGACCTTGCATGAGTTTGGCAAGGGCAACCAAGCCTTGGCAGTGCACTGCAGGTGGTTATTAGAGGTGCTGGCAGTGGGAAGGGCTATGGTGGGTGGGTATGAATAGTCTGGAGGTCTGAGATCAAGGCAGGGCACATGCTAGGTTTTTGGGAAGAATCTATCCTAACCTTCTTCTGGCTACTGGTGGCTCCAAGTATTCCTTAACTTGTGGCCTCATAATTTGAGCTTCTGTTTCTATCTTCTGTCTTTTATATGGTCTTCTTTTTGTATATCTCTATATGGCAGTTCCTCTTTCTCGTGCTTCTACTCTTGGTGATGGTACTGGCATTTGAACTCAGGACCTCACACTTGCTAGGTAGGTATTCATCACTTGAGCCAACACCTCCAAGCTTTTTTGTTGTTGTTAGTGGTAGAGCATGAACTCAGGGCCAAGGTTCTGTCCCTGAGCTTTTCTGCTCAAGGCTAGCATTCTTTGAACCACAGCTCCACTTCCAGTTTTCTGGTGGTTAATTGGAGATAAGAGTCTCATGGACTTTCCTACCTGGTCTGGCCTTGATCCGTGATCCTCAGATATCATCCTCCTGAGTAGCTAGGACTACAGGTGTGAGCCACCAGCACCCAGCCCAAGCCTTGTGTGTGTGTGAGAGAGAGAGAGAGAGAGAAAGAGAGAGAGAGAGAGAGAAAGTAAGTGTGTGTGTGTGTGTGTGTGTGTGTGTGTGTGTGATGGGGCTTGAACTTGGAGTCTGGATGCTGTCCCTAAGCTTTTTTTTTTTTAATCAGTCATGGGGGCTGAACTCTGGGCCTCGGCACTGTCCCTTGGCTCTTCAGCTCAAGGCTAGCGCTCTACCACTTGAACCACAGCACCACTTCTGGCTTTTTTCTGCTTATGTGGTGCTGAGGAATTGAACCCAGAGCCTGATGCATGCGAGGCAAGCGCTCTACCACTGAGCCACCTTCCCAGCCCTATCCCTAAGCTTTTTTTTTTTTTTTTAACTAAAGGTTACTGCTCTACCACTTGAGCCCCAGCTCTACTTCCCCTAAGCTTTTTCCTTGAGCTATTTTTCATCATCTCAGACCTTGATCTTCCTACCTCCACCTCCAAGTTATATGAAATTACAAGTGTATGCCTATACATCTCCTCCCCATCTCCCCTCCCTTCCTCCCCCTTTCCACCTCTCCCCTTATCCCTCCTCCTCCTCCTCCTCCTCTTCCTCCTCCTCTTCTTCTTCTTCTTCTTCTTCTTCTTCTTCTTCTTCTTCTTCTTCTTCTTCTTCTTCTTCTTCTTCCTCTTCTTCTTCCTCTTCTTCTTCCTCTTCTTCTTCCTCTTCTTCTTCCTCTTCTTCTTCTCCTCCTCCTCCTCCTCCTCTTCTCCTTCTCCTCCTCCTCCTCCTCCTCCTCCTCCTCCTCCTCCTCCTCCTCCTCCTCCTCCTCTTCCTCCTCCTCCTCCTCCTCCTCCTCCTCTTCCTCCTCCTCCTCCTCCTCCTCCTCCTTCTTGTGCTAGTACTGGGTCTTGAACTCAGGCCTGCGAGTTGTCTCTTAGTTTTTTCAACTCTACCGTTGAGCCAGCTCCACTACCAGCTTTTTAGTGGTTAACTGGAGATAGAAGATTCACATGCTATACTGCCCAAAGTGACTTTGAACCTCATCCCTCAGATCTCAGATTCCTGAGTAGCTAGGATTAGTAGCTAACTTGAGCCATGGGACCAGGTCTGAATCATTAGACACAGGGCTTATTCTGTTCCTCGATGGCTACTTACATCAACAAAGACTCTACTTCCAAATAAGGTCACATTCTGAGGTTCCAGGTGGGTATGAGTTTGGGAGGACACTATCCCACAAGTACTTGTCCTGTCTCTGTAAGCCACATCCTTCAGGAGGATGTTTACAACAAGTATTTACAAGAGACAGGAATGCAGTCAGGCCTGGCCTTGTCCTCAGATAAGCTGAGTCTATCTGGGGTAGACCAAGGCAGGATAAGCCCGTGGAGGTATGAGAGCCTAGATGGTCAGGACACCAGGAGTTCTAGGGAGGGTAGAATGGGAAGGGTAGCAGCAGGCCACTGGCAGGTCTCTATTTTCTATACCTTAACTTCCATGTCTCAGATTATTTTCCTTTCATGTGTGATGAAGAGCAAGATGAGAAGGGCCTTTGGATTTACCACAGAAACCAGAGAGGGCCCCGACACCCAAGCCCTCCTGACCTGTGCAGAGAAAGAGGACGACCACCAAGAGGCCAGCAGTGAGGACAAGGTCTTTCCAGTGTTTCCTGGGTGGGGTGGACAGAGGCAAGGGCCCTGCACCAAGTCTGGGACTTGGGAACCTTGAAAGTCCCTCCATGCTGTGTGTGTGTGTGTGTGTGTGTGTGTGTGTGTGTGTGTATACATGTGCATGCATCACACTCACCAGTACTAGTGCTTGAACTCAGGGTCTGGGCTCTTCCAGTTGAGTCACAGCTTCACTTCCTGCTCTTTGCTGGTTAATTAGAGATAAAAGTCTCATCCCAAGCTATCTGGGAGGCTGAGATTGGGAGGATTGTGGTTCCAGGCCAGCTCAAGCAGAAAGGTCTATGAGACTCCATCTCAGTGGAAATAAAGCTGTTCATAGTGGCCAATGACTGTCATCTCAGCTATCATAGGAAGCCTAAAGGAGGCTTAGCAGGAAGCAAGTCTTTACCTTAAAAATAACCAGTACAAAAAAGGCTGGAGGTGGGGGCTGGGAAGGTGGCTCAGCGGTAGAGTGCTTGCCTTGCATGCATGAGGCCCTGGGTTCGATTCCTCAGCACCACATAAGCAGAAGAAAAAAGCCGGAAGTGGAGCTGTGGCTCAAGTGTAGAGCGCTAGCCTTGAGCTGAAGAGCTGAGGGACAGCACACAGGCCCAGAGTTCAGGTCCCACAACTGGACCCAAAAAAAAAAATTTTAAAAAGGCTGGAAGCATGGCTCAGCAGTAAAGTACCTACTCAGCCCTCATGAGGCCTGAGACTCTGAATTCAAACCCCAGTTCCCAGCTGGTTCTCTTGGGCTGCAGAGTTTGGGGACCATTGGCTTTAAAAGAAGAGCGCTAAGACACTCCTTATAAGAAGCAGAATGTGCCGGGCGCTGGTGGTTCACGCCTGTAATCCTAGCTACTCAGGAGGCTGAGATCTGAGGATCGCGGTTCAAAGCCAGCCCGGGCAGGAGAGACCGTGAGACTCCTATCTCCAATAAACCACCAGAAAAAAAAAACCGGAAGTGGCACTGTGGCTCAAGTGGTAGAGCGCTCGCCTTGAGCTGAAGAGCTGAGGGACAGCGCCCAGGCCCAGAGTTCAAGCCCCACAACCGACAAAAAAAAAAAAAAAAAAAGAAGCAGAATGTGAGGTCTGCCTTAAAAATAGGAAGAAAAAAAAAAGACTAAAATGCCCTAAGGGTTCTTTCGAATAAAATGGGAGCTTGTTTTTAGAACATGCCTCTTGCCTTTCAGATGTCTCCTTTCTGTCTTCCTGTCTCCTCTCAAAAGAATTCAGATTGGGTGCCACTCACCACCCTGTCCCACTGCAAGTCTCTGAGGACAATGACAGCAATCAGTCGTTACATGGAGCTCACCATCGAACCTGTACAGCAGGTGAGGGTCCATGGGCCACAATTAGGTGTCCAGAAGGGTGGGCCACAGTCCTGGAAGGCTTCCTGAAGGAGGTGATACTATTGTGATGGGGGGGACCGTGTAAAGAGCTGTGTGGGCCTGTCATGGAGGGCACGTAGGAGAGGAAAATGGTTTCCCTTCACCCTCTTTGCTACAGCGGTTGAGGATCATGAGTCAACTTGATAAGAATTACAAGAATAAACAACAACTTAGTTGCTTATGCATGAAAGTTCACAAAGAAAACAGTAGCCACGGGGCTGGGAAGGTGGTTCAGTGGTAGAGCGCTTGCCTTGCATACATGAGGCCCTGGGTTCGATTCCTCAGCACCACATAAGCAAAAAGAAAAAAGCCGGAAGTGGCGCTGTGGCTCAAGTGGTAGAGCGCTAGCCTTGAGCTGAAGAGCTGAGGGACAGCGCCCAGGCCCAGAGTTCAGGCCCCATGACCGGACCAAAAAATAAAAAATAAAAAAAGAAAACAGTAGCCAGATGAGGGAGGTCTCTCTGTCCTAGGCTAAACACAAGAGAAAGGATTAGAACTTGTGGGGACAGGCATCTTACAGAAGGGGAGCAGAGGGAAAGTAGGGGTGCACATGTTGTCACTGAAAGTAGCTCTCTTCCTGCTGGACACTAGAAATTTCCTGCATAAAATTGGGTTTTCCTTACGCAAGAGAAAATTTATATAACTTGGCCCTAAAATTCATGGACTCTGCAGAAGTTTGCTTATGTACTGTAAATATCCAGAATTTTTGTCGTTATCCTTTAAAAATATATAATATATAATTAGAACAATTTACACAGTGTGTATTCTGAATTAGGCATTATAAAAATCTAGCATTGATTCAAAGCATAGCTATATGTAAATTCTATACCTTTTTTTCTTGTGCCAATATGGAGGTTTGAACTCAGGGCCTAGGAACTGTCCCTGAGCTTGTTTGCTCAAGTGGAACCACAGCTCCACTTCTGACTTTTGGATGGTTAACTGGAGATCAGAGTCTCACAAACTTCCTTCCTTAGACTGACTTTGAACTACTATGCTCAGTCCCAGCCTCCTGAGTAGCTAGGATTACAGGCATGAGTCATCAGCACCTGGGCCTACACCATTTTATACAAGGGGCTTGAGCTTCTGAGGATTTGGGTGACTATGAGGCTCTGAAAGCCAAAGGATGATTTTGCTCTACGTTTAGGCAGTTGGGGTAGGAACAGCTTCTCCTGCTTCTGCTGCCTTTCACTTGCCTGTATTCGAAATGGCCCATATGCCTAAGAGACATTCTTGAGGTTGCGCATCCTGGTTCTCTCCCAGAGTGTGGGAGGAGAGAGGGTGCAGCAGTCAGATTACTTAGATGGGCCAAAAACCTGGCAACCCCCAAGGGCAGTGGATCCTGGAGGCTTCAGTGCTAGACTCAAGACCAGGTGTGAATTCCATCATCGGTGCACAGGAGAGGAGAGTGGACTAGGGTCAGTGAGGAATAGGAGTCTGTCTGTGTGCCGATGGGCCCGAAGCCCGGAAGTGGACGGGCCGGGCCCACATGACTCCTGGGGCTTGGCCCACTCTGGCTCTTCAGGAAGGAAAGGACAGGGAAATGGGCGACAACAAGTTCACGCCTCAGCCCATTTCCCCAGAGATTATTCTCTTCTTTTTCTTTCTTTCGTTTTTTTGTTTTGTTGTGTTGTATTATGTTTATTGTATTTTATTTTTTTGCCAATCCTAGGGCTTGAACTCAGGCCTGGACACTGTCCCTGAGCTTCTTTTGCTTAGGGCTAGCATCTACCACTTGAGTCACATTCCCAGCCGGAGATTGTTCTTGTCAGATTGCTGTACCCACAGTCATTTCTGCTCTGATTGAGGCTTGCTCATTTGGCCATTGACTTCTAACCTCTGTCCCCAAGCTCCTGGTGCTTCTGCCATCCTTAGAAGTGTCCAGGAGTATCCCCTTCTCTTGTGTGTCCTTGGGGACCCCAGTCCCATGGCTCTACATGCTGGTGCATGAAGGTCCCCAGTGTGTACAGCTGCACCCTGCTTCTCCTCAGTTCCAGTCTCAGCTCTCTGGCTGCCTATTCTGTGGTACCATATGGTGCCTCATACTTACCACATCCAACACAGACCTCTGGTTTTCCCTGCCCAGTCCCTCTTCTCACCCATCCTCCTTGCTATGGTTCACAATGCCCTGTCCACACATCAATTCAACCCAGATTTCTCCTTCCTGTCTCCTCTCCTGCTGCATTCCCATGCCATCCAGCCCGCATGTGGGTCCTATAAATGCTCCCCTAAAATATGTGTCAAGATGTATTGTTATCCTTATAAATTGTTGCACTTATAAATTGATATACACCCCTTTGTGTAACTAAATGAATTTTTTAAAAAAAACATATGAAGGCCAGTAGCCGTGTGGCTCATCTTCTCTGCCACCCTTGTCCCACCTCTCCACCTGCACTAACAGCTAGAAGGTGTTTTGACAAATGAACATAATATCTGGGCTGGGAAGGTGGCTCAGCGGTAGAGCGCTTGCCTTGCATGCATGAGGCCCTGGGTTCGATTCCTCAGCACCACATAAGCAAAAAGAAAAAAGCCGGAAGTGGCGCTGTGGCTCAAGTGGTAGAGTGCTAGCCTTGAGCTGAAGAGCTGAGGGACAGCGCCCAGGCCCAGAGTTCAGGCCCCATGACTGGACCCCCCCCCCAAAAAAACCCAAAACTCTAAAAGACAATGTCCAGGATCTGAGTTCAAGTCCCAGTACCAGTATCAATAAATAAATAAATAGACTTCTGGCTAATCTTACAGAGACTCCAACACCCTTAGGCCCAGCCCCGATCCCTTCCTGCTGTGCCCACATTGCGTGCTGTGTACCGCCGACCCCCCCCCCTCCATTCTCTGCCCTGTGTCTCTCCCTTCCTGCTGCACAGGGGTTCTCTACCCCTCTGCCTATGGATCGGAGCTCTCAAACTGCAACAGTTGTTACCCACCCCAAAGGCCCCCAGGGAGAAATAGCTTCCTTGCTGGGTTCCCACCCCCTCCCTCATAGCTGAGGAACAATGTCTTAAAGCACTTAGTACAGTCATATTTCTGTGTGCTGTCCATCTTGAGTGTGTGTGTGTATGGTGTGCATACACACATGTATGCACATGCCAGCACTTAGGCTTGAACTCAGGGCCTCATGCTCTTAGGTTTTTCTTTTCTTTTCTGTTCTTTCTTTTCTTTTCTCCCAAGGCTAGTGCTCTACCATGTGAGCCACAGCTTCCACTTCTGTCTTTTTGGTGGTCAACTGGGGATAAGAGTCTTACAGACTTTCCTGCCTGGGCTGTTTTTGAGCCACTATCCTCAGATCTGAGTAGCTAGGATTACAGGTGTGAACCCCTTGCTGTCCATCTTGGAGCCTTGTGCCCTTTGTCTCCTGTCTGAATTCTTCTGGGAGTCACAAGCCCTCTGTGAAGGTACAATCTGAGCATGTTGCTCACTGAGGTGGTCCCTGTCCAGCTGCCCAGGGGACGCTCAGAGGAGCTGGGGCCTTCCTCTTTGCTGTTGATGTTTCCTTGGATGTTGGGCATGACTTCTCTGGGAAGTTCCCAGAGAGGGCATGCCTTTACTGTGAGGAGCCCACTGTGCCCATGGAACTTGCGGGGTGGAGGGAGCTGGAGGAAACAGAATTTTAGTAGCAGATTCCTGAAGGGTGGCAATAGACCATTTTCCATCTTGGAACTATTGAAAAAGAACTTTCAGAAGCTTCTAGGATGGGATGCTGGGATGGAACTTAATGGGAGAGTGCTTACCTAGCATGTATGAGGCCTTGGGTTGGATCCTTAGTACAGCAAGGGAGGGAAAAAGGAAGGGAGGGAAAGGGGGAAGGATGGAAGAGGAAGTAAAGAGAGGAAAGAAGGGCTGGGGAGGAGATGGAAGAGAGGGAGGGCAAGTAGGGTTGGTTATGGTTACTTTCACAGCAATTGTACATCACTGTTGGGTGGGCTTTGGGTGGGCTTTTGCTGGGGAACCGACCTGAAGGAAGTACATGTTCTACCTCATTCTCTCAAGAGCCCCAAATCTCACCAAGTCTGAGCTCCTACCCATGCTCTTCCTTTTGTGTCCACCAGGGGGCAAGAGTTATCTGGCAGACAGGGAGCCTGGAGCCTACTGCCTTCCCACCCTGGACGGTAGCCACCTTCCTCAGCTCTAGCGACAGCACTCTGTGGCAGCCTGCTTTCTGAGGGCTACTTGCCAGACTAAACAGACCTAATAGTAATGGCTCTGAGCAACAGCCAATGCTTTCTTGGTGTTTATTATAATGGGCTGGAGTACCAGTCTAAGTTCTGTATACAGATTTGTTTTTATATGTATATTTGTCTGTGTGTGTGTGTGTGTGTGTGTGTGCAGGTATGGGGCTTGAACTCAGGGCCTGGGTGCTGTCGCTGAGCTTTTTTTTTTGCTCAAGGCTGGCACTCTTCCACTTGAGGCACAGCTCTACTTCCTGCTTTTTGCCGGTTAATTGGAGATAAGAGCCTCATAAACTTGCCTGCTAGACTGGCTAAGCAGGTGCTGTAGACTTGAGCCACACTCCAGCCCTAATAATTGTCATTTTAACTTAAGGCACAATACCAAGAGTGGTAGTATATGCCATAGTCCCAGAGATGCTTGCCTCACGAGTCTGAGGCAGGAAGATTGCTTGAACCCAGGAGTTTGGGACTGGCCTGGACACGGTACCAAGAACCTGTCTCAAAACAAACAAACAAACAAGAGGGGCTGGGAATGTCGTTTTAATAGTAGAATGCTTGCTTGTCACGTGCAAGGTACTGAATTTGATCCCCAGCACTAAAAAACAAACAACAGCTGGGTGCCGTTGGCTCATGCCTGTCATCCTAGCTATCCAGGAGGCTAGATCTGAGGATCTCGGTTCAAAGCCCACTTGGGCAAGAAAGTCCGTGAGACTCTTATCTCCAATAAACCACTAGAAAACCAGAAGTGGTGCTGTGGCTCAAGCAATAGAGCGCTCGCCTTGAGCTGAAGAGCACAAGGACAACATCCAAGCCCAGTGTTCAAGCCCCATGACCAACAACAACAACAACAACAAAAAGTCTGAGGTACAGGGAAGTTAAGTAACTTGCCCAAGATCCCACAGCAATAGGCTTCAAACTATGCCTGTCTAGGACCTGACCCAACACCACTAATCCTAGCTACTCAGGAGAAGGCTGGAATCTGAAATTGTAGTTCAAAGTCTAGGCAGAAAACTTAGACTGGTGTGTGTGTGTGTGTGTGTGTGTGTGTGTGTGTGTGTGTGTGTGTTGGTCCTGAGACGTGTGTGTGTGTGTGTGTGTGTGTGTGTGTGTGTTTGTGTGTGTGTGTTGGTCCTGGGGCTTGAACTTCGGGTCTAAATGCTGTTTCTGAGCTTTTTTGCTCAAGGCTAGCACTCTACCACTTGATCAAAAGCTCCATTTTTGGGTTTTTGGTAGATAATTGGAGATAGAGAGTCTTGTGTGCTTTCCTACCTGGGCTGGCTTTGAACCACAATTCTCAGATCTGAGCCTTCTGTGTAGCTAGGAGTTCAAGCTGAATGACTAACAAGAAAGGAAAGGGAAAGGGAAAAGGAAAGGGAAAGGAAAGGAGAGGAGGAAGACCCTGATTTCAAGCCCCAGTAATAGCACAGAAAGAAAAAAATAGAACAGTGCCTTCTGCTCCACTGTACCTGCTCCCTTAGCTAGTATTATTGCTCTCTTTTCCTTCTTTAATGGGCATGTTTGAGACCACTGGTGACTCGTTGGCCATTCTGTTTGGTGAGGAGAGCGCAGAGGTACCTGCTGACATTGCTGGTCCTAAGGAGACTCCAAAAGGAGCAGGGGAGCATCTGCTAGTGATGTGGGACCCCAGGGAGGCATCATCCTTGCTAGGGACATTGAAAAGTCCACTCAGCTGTTGACTGGAGTGTGGCAGTTCCCCCAGGGAGACTATAGGATTCTCTCTTTGCTGTTATAAGAGCACCTGCCTCCCTGTCCACAGAACCTTCTGCAGAGGGCATCAGGGCCACATTTGTGCTTCTAGGTTGCTTCTGGAAGCTGCCTTGTTCCTTTGTAGTCTTCCTCCAGACTCACATGGACTGGACAGAGCACTGAGTATGCTGAGGACCAGGCCTGCGCGATTGAGACCCAGCACATGTAGCCACTCTTCCTGTGTGTCCACGTCACAGCCCCATGACACCCGTTGAAGGGCTAGGCCACCCCTTTCGATAGGTTAGGAGATGGAGATTCAGAGAGGACAAATTTCCTTCTGAGACTGCAGAGCGCTTTAGTGGAAGAATCCCATCCAGAAAGCAGAGAGAGACACCTGTATGGCAGGTCGGTGGAAAACCTACCATCTTGCAAAAGTCCAGCTGGTGGAGCATCACTGATCTTTGAGGAAGCACCTGTGAGTGCTGTGGGAAGCAAGACAGGCAGACAGACAGACAGGTGCTCCATGTTCATTGTCCTCCCATACCGCCCAGCGTCCATGTGCTGGCATGAGCTGGCAAAGCCTCAGTGGGACATGTGTTTTCCACATTAAAATGCACATCCCCTTGGATCCTTCAGTTTTGCCTGTACTCTTGAGATCTCCGGGTGTTTGCTGTACTGTAGTGTGGTCAGTACTGATTGCAGTAAGGAAGGTGGGAAACACCCCAAGCATCCATCAGAAGGCTATAATGGTTAAATGGGCTATGCTAACCCATGCCTCCCAAACTTCTGACATAGAACCCCTCTAAGGCAATATTGTTAGGTGAAAATAGGGGTGTAAGAGAGTAGGTGCCAGTGGCTCACACCTGTAATCCTGGTTGGTTCAAGAGGCTGAGATCTGAGGATCAAGGCTCAAAGCCACAGAGCAGACAATTTTTTTGTGGGGAGGTCCGGTTGTGGGGCCTGAACTCTGGGCCTGGGTGCTGTCCCTCAGCTCAAGGCTAGCACTCTACCACTTGAGCCACAGCACCACTTCCGGCTTTTTTCTTTTTTGCTTATGTGGTGCTGAGGAATCGAACCCAGGGCCTCATGCATGCAAAGCAAGCGCTCTACCACTGAGCCACCTTCCCAGCCCCCATTTTTATTTATTTATTTTTAATTTCTTTTATCATGGGGTTTGAACTCTGGGCCTAGGTGCTCTCCCTTAGGTCTTCAGCTCAAGACTGGTACTCTACCACTTTGAGTCACAACACCACTTCCGGTTTTCTGGTGGTTAATTGGAGAGAAGAATCTCATGGACTTTCCTGCCTAGGCTGGAAACCACAATCCTCAGATCTTGGCCTCCTGAGTGGTTAGGATTACATGCATAAGCCACTGGCACCCAGCTTAGACAATTCTTATGGCTCTTATTTCCAGTTAACCAGCAAAAAGCTGAAAGTGGAGGCAAGAGTCATGACCAAAAAGCCAAAAGAGCAAGAGGCCATGAACTCAAGCCTCCGTACAACACATACACACACACATGCACACGTATACACACACACATACACACACAGAGTGTAAAATAATGAAGACTATACCATCATTCCCAGAAATAGAGGCAAATACATGTATGTGCACTTAAGAAAGTGTGTAGAATGTCTGGAAGGGTACATGGCAACCAAGGCACTGGCCACTCTGGAGAACAAGGGACCAGGACATCAGCCAGGCCCTGCCCTGCCCACCTCTTATTCCCTTGGATCCTGAAGCAAGGGAATGCTTTGGCTCTTCAGAAGCACCAAGTGTCCCTGTTTTCTCTTTTCCACACCCCCTGCAGGCAAGCTGCAGCGCCACCAGGTTGCCAGGTGATGGACAGATGATTGCAGGCGATGCGTCCCTGCAGGAGCCTCCTTCGTACCCTCCCGTCCAGGTCATCCGGGCCCGAGTGTCCTCCAGCAGCTCCTCTGAGGTCTCCTCCATCAGCTCCGACCTGGAGGTACACCACCCCCCTGGCGAGCGGGTGCATGGCTGTGTTATTCACCAACACTTGCAGGGTGGGGGTGGGGGGGTGAGGGGGAGTGGCCTGGCCTTGTATGGCACCTCTGTCATCCTGCCTTGCTTGCCTCATGCCTGCTGTATCATGAATGAACCTGTAGGTGGGTCCCACCCTTTGCTCAAGGACCTCCCAAACTAGGGCAGGACTAAGTGCTGGCATGGTCAGCCTGGTAAGGAGAAGATGTGTTGTCAGGATCCAGCCATCATGAGCCACTTGCTCATTCAAGTCCTAGAGAAGTAAATGCATGAGAAATAAAGTTTAAGATTTCCAGGTCCTCCAACCCATTTGACCATGGGAGCACTTCTTCATCCTAAGGACCCCCCAGCTCTGCCCTGTGGTGCCAGTGGTGGCCTATGGCAGTCACCATAGATTGGCAGGTGGCATCTTGGAGGCACAGCAGGCGTCACTCAAGTATGACTGTCCTGTGGCTCTCCATCCCAGCTCCCATTTGATGAGAAAGTTTCTACTTGTCTGAGGAAAATGGAGGATGATGAAGTAGTTGAGTGTGTTTTGGCAGGAGGGTGCCGGTTTTAGTGTGCATATGTGTGTTTGTGTGTGTGTGTGTGTGTGTGTGTGTGTCCTTCTAACTTTTTTTTGCATGTGTTAAATGCTCTTTTATGAAATGAAATGACGGTAATAAGTAGTGGAGTTGACTGGGTGCTGATGGCTCATGCCTATAATCCTAGCTACTCAGGAGGCTCAAATACAGCCTGAGCTGACAAATCCTGAGACTCATTTTACCTCCAACTAACCAGCAAAAGGCTAGGGTAAGGGAATGATTCAAGTGGTAGAGTCCTAGTTGAGCAAGCCAGCTGAACAAGCTTGAGTCCCTGAGTTCAATCCTGGTATTGGCAACAACAACAACAAAAAGTGGTGTTGAGATTTTGGTTTAGGTTTGGTTGTTTTTGTAATGGCCTTATTTAGCAAAAATATCAGTTACTTATTGTGTGTCCCCAAATTTGTCAAACTTGTTCTAGGCCCTGAAATAAACTCAGAGCCATTTATGGTGGGATAAAGTCCATAGACCTTAGAGTGATGTTCCAGATGCTTACCAGCTTGCCAGTCTCACCTGGCACTATGGTTTGACTGTGGGCTCTTCCTTGTCCCTAGGCCTCTGGGCCTTTCCTCCCAGAGTTCACTTTGCTCACATTTGCATGGCCAGATCCTCCCCCTTATGGCACTTGCTCTGTGAGGTCACCCATAACCCCCCAGGGTCAGTGGCTCCCTTCTTCTGGAGTGCCAGAGCACCCTGCTTCACCTGCCCTCCACGGTTGGCCTCTGGTCTGGGGAGGGAAGGGTGTGGCAGTGTTGGCTTTGTCCCTGAATCATTGACATAGTTGAGAACACTATCCTGGAGATTGTATTCCTGGGTCATTCGTGTTATGTGTAGAAATGTAGGCCTCACTAGCTGCTCTGGAGGCCGATATCTGAGGATCAGGGCTAGAAGCCAGCCATGGTAGAAAAACCTATGAGACTCTTATCTTCAGTTAACCACCAAAAAGCTGGAAGTGTGGAGCTGTGGCTCAAGTAGTATTGTGCTAGTGTTGCTCAAACAAAGCTCAGACAGGGCCCAGGCTCTGAGTTCAAGTGCCAGGACTGGCAGAGAGAAAGAAATAAGAAAGGGGCTGGGAAGGTGGCTCAGTGGTAGAGCGCTTGCCTTGCATGCATGAGGCCCTGGGTTCGATTCCTCAGCACCACATAAGCAAAAAGAAAAAAAGCCGGAAGTGGCACTGTGGCTCAAATGGTAGAGCGCTAGCCTTGAGCTGAAGAGCTGAGGGACAGCGCCCAGGCCCAGAGTTCAGGCTCCACGACCGGACCCCCCCCCCCAAAAAAAAAAAAGAAATAAGAAAGAAAGAAAGAAAGAGAGAGAAAGGGAGAGAGAAAGGGAGAAAGGGAGGAAGGAAGGAAGGAAGGAAGGAAAAGAGGGAAGAAAGGAGGGAGGGAGGGAGGGAAGGAAGGAAGGAAGGAAGGAGGGAGGGAAGGAGGGAGGGAGGGAGGGAAGAAAAGGAAAGAGAAAAAGGAAAGACAAGATCCAGTTTTAGAACATGCACCAAAGCCTATGCTGGGCAGCCTGAAGCCACAGTCATGGCTAAGCACCAAGGCCGGGGGGGGGGAGTAATGAACACTGGGGAAAGGACCTCACCACACAGGGCACGCTCAGTGAGAAGAGGGGAGTAGAGTGGCATGGGTGAGACTGGCAGGGAAAGGGGAGGAACATTTGCGCAGTGGAAACAAGAGTGTCTGGCTATATATCCACTCTCTCTTCCGCTGTCTCTTGCTCTCTCTCCCCACCCCCTCTCCTTCCATCTCTCTCCACCCCCAGATTAGGTCATGAGTGCACAGCAGCCTAGAAAACATCAGCAACCTGCCTCATGGTTTGAGATCTTTCTCAGTTTTGCAGACCTTGTGCACTGGTGCTTCCCTGACTGTCCATTCTCTCCTCTTTTAGGAGTCTGTTGTATGAAATTTGTTAACTCTAGGGACCCAAGATCACCTTTTTAAATTAAGCAGGTGGAAATGAATACTTTGGCACACATTAAAAGGGAATGGGGGCTGGGAAGGTGGCTCAGTGGTAGAGCGCTTGCCTTGCATGCACGAAGCCCAGGGTTCATTTCCTCAGCACCACATAAGCAGAAAAAATTGGAAGTGGCACTGTGGCTCAAGTGGTAGAGCGCTAGCCTTGAGCTGAAGAGCTGAGGGACAGCGCCAGGCCAAGAGTTCAGGTCCCACTTCTGACAAAAATAAAAAATAAAAGGGAATAGCTTTTAGAAGCTCAGCTTCCTTAGCCCCACTCTCCCCTGGCACAGACTTTCTACTCACACCATAAACCACACTCACTGGGGACAACACAGGTTACCAGGGCCTTGTAGAGATAACCTCTCATTATAGACTCACGCCCACAGGCCAAGGAGAATTGTGAAGCTTAATATTGATTATTTAGTTTATGAGCAGGAGATCCTGTAGCTTTTTTCTCTCTTCAGTTTTTAACAGTAATATAGGGGGCTAGGCAACATACTTGCAATTCCAGCTACTGGAGAAGCAAGAATTGAGAAGATTAGGCTGAGAATCAGCTCAGGCAAAAAGTTAACAAGACTTTCATCCCAAACTATAAGCTGGGAATGGTAGTTTACTATTACTTTGTATTACAGAATACAAACCAAGAGGGAGGGGCTGGCAAAAGTAGCTGTAAACTTTTTACAATGGGTAAAGAGAGAATTAAAAGGCAGGCCTGGCAAAGGAAGTCCTAAAAGCACCTATTGTCCCTGTGTTTTGAGTGGGCCTAGACCACTTCTCCACCCATCTTACCCACCCAGAACCATTATGTAAGATGAAGGTGTTTTCTACAAGTCCCCAGAGTATAAAGGCTACAGATAGAAACTCTCATTTTGAGTTTTGAACTTCCATTTCCTACATAGGAATCAGGAAGTGCTTCTGTTTTTCCATTTCTCCCTACTTTATCCTTTATTGTACAATCCTAGATAAAAATTTAAAAACAAAGAAAACAAGAGTAACTTGAAAAAATTTAAAAACAAAACAAGAGTAACTTGTTGACTACTTTCTCCACCAGAGGGCACTCTTCTTTCATTTGAGGCTGCCTGTGCTGCTGCAGAATTGGAAAGTTTGTTTCAAGGGTTCAGTTCAGCTGGGGCACACTTTAGCCTACTTGTTTGTTGGTTTGTTTGCTTAGCTTTAAATAAACTTTTGACTTGGAGAATAATGTTCCATATGTAGAAAGTTTTCATGGGTAATTCTGAATTCCTGCCTCTTTGCCCAGCTTTCCTGTGCTCACACCTTATATAACATGTTACATTTATCAAAACATTAGCATTGGCACATTGCTATCAACTAAATGGCAGGATTTATTTGAACTTCATTCCTTTTTTAAAAATCCATGTTCTTTCTCTTTTCTATGATGCAATCCAGGATACCACATCACAATTGGTAACATTGTTTAAAGAAACAAATGTATACTAGCCATAAATTTCCATTTCCAGTTTGCTGAATATCTATTATCTTTCAAGAAAAGTGAAGGGCTGACAGGTGCCAGTGGCTCATGCCTATAATCCCAGCTACTCAGGAGGCTGAGATTTGAGGATTGCACTTCAAAGCTAATGTAAGCAGAAAAGTCTGTGCGATGATGATTTCCAATTAATGTGGAAACGCTGGAAGTGAAGTTGTGGATCAGCTGGTAAAGTACCAGCTTTAAGAGGAAAAAGCTAAGCAAGTGCACAAAGCCCTGAGTTCAAGCCCCAGTACCAGTACACACACACGATGATGATGATGATGATGATGAAAGAAAAGTGAAGACTAGCATTTATTAAACTTTTTATTTCCTTTACATTTGTAATGGAAATCTAACCCCTGCTTTAATAATGTGCATTTCCATTTTTTTTTTTTGCAATGTGTGTGGAACCACTATTTTAGTAACTTGTATCTCCCCCAATTAATCTTTTTTTTCCCTCTAACTTATTTTCCTCCATTGAGATGGCACTCCAGAACAAATGCTAGCTGGGGGTATAGTTCAGTGGCAGAACTCATGCTTAGCATGCATGAGGCTCTGGGCTCTATCCTTCGCACACCCATGCATATACATAGACACACATACACAGGATGAATGTTAAAGAATTAGCACTGATGGGCTGGGAAGGTGGCTCAGTGGTAGAGCACTTGCCTTGCATACATGAGGCCCTGGGTTCGATTCCTCAGCACTACAGAAGCAGAAAAAGCCGGAAGTGGAGCTATGACTCTAGTGGTAGAGTGCTAGCCTTGAGCTGAAGAGCCAAGGGACAGCGCCCAGGCCCAGAGTTCAGGCCTCACGACCAACAACAACAACAAAAAAAAGAATTAGCACTGATTTTTGTGAGATTTAACATGGCACTATGCTTGGGACTTTTTGAAGAGTTCTTATCTAAGAGGTGCATTCTGAAATATTTATAAATGAAATTATTTACTTTAAAAAACTATACCAAGGGGCTGGGAAGGTGGTAGAGTGCATGCCTTGCATGCCTGAGGCCCTGGGTTCGATTCCTCAGCACCACATAAGAAAAAAAGCCGGAAGTGGCACTGTGGCTCAAGTGGTAGAGTGCTAGCCTTGAGCTGAAGAGCTCAGGGACAGCGCCCAGGCCTAGAGTTCAGGCCTCACAATCAGACACCCCCCTCCCCCCCCAAAAAAAAAAGAAATCTAAAATACTATACCAAATAAAATGATTGGGAAGCCAAATGAAATAAACAGGATAGAGCTGTCAGTTATCATTCTATTATTGTTTTACTGTTTGTGTACAATTGAAGATTTCATAGTTTAAAAGTTGTTTAAGCCAGGTGCCGGTGGCTCATGCCTGTAATCCTAGCTATGCAAGAGACTAATAACTGGAGGAGCAGAGTTTGAAACCTGCCTGGGAAGACAAATCTATGAGACTTCATCTCCATATAACCAGCAGAAAAGTAGAGCTGGTGGCATGGCCCAAGTAGTGGCACAAGCTGAATGAACTTAAGGTCCTGAGTTCAAGGGGAAAAAAAAGTTGCAGTGACGGAAGCCCTCAGTTCTAGCTATTCGGAAGGCAGAGATTGGAGAATTATGATTTGAGGCCAGCCTGGGCATAAAAGTTTGTGAGACCTATTCTCCACCAATGACTGAGGGTGGTAATACGTGTCTATTCTCCCAAACTACAGGGGAAGCCCAATGGCTAGACACAATGGTGAGTGCACCTGAAACCCCAGCAATGCTGAGAAGCAGAAGCAGAAGGATCAAAGGCCAGGCCAGCATGGGCATAAATGTTTTATGTTGAAAATAACCAACATAAAAAGGTTATAGGACTGGGAGCTGGGAGCTGGGTGCTGGTGGCTCATGCCTGTAATCCTAGCTACTCAGGAGTCTGAGATCTGAGAATCACAGTTCAAAGCCAGCCCATGCAGGAAAGGCTGTGAGACTCTAATCTCCGATAAACCACTAGAAAACAGGAAGTGGCTCTGTGGCTCAAATGGTAGAGCATTCACCTTGAGTTGAAGAGCACAGGGACAGCACCCAAGCCCAGAGTTCAATCCCCACAATTGACCAAAAAAAAAAGGTTACGGGACTGATTCAAGAGGCAGAATGTCTGCCTAGTAAGTGTAAGGCCCAGAAGAGTTCAAACCCGTGTTCATTGTCTAACATGAAAATTGAGCTGAGTGCTGGTGGCTCACTGCTGTAACCCTAGCTACTCAGGAAGCTAAGATCTGAGGATCCCAGGTCAGGCAGGCAAGTCAGTGAGACTCTTATTCTCCAGTAAACTACCAAGAAGTGGCTGTGGCTCAAGTGACAGAGAGCTAGCCTTGAGCAAAAAGTTTTGAGTTCATGTTCTAGGACTGGTGAGAGAGAGAGAAAGAGAAAGAGAGAGAGAGAGAGAGAGCAAGAAAAAAGAGGACAGAAGGAAGGAAGTAGGGAAGGAAGGGAGGGAGGAAGGAAGGAAGGAAGGAAGGAAGGAAGGAAGGAAGGAAGGAAGGAAGGGAGGGAGGGAGGGAGGAAGGAAGGAAGGAAGGAAGGAAGGAAGGAAGGAAGGAAGGAAGGAAGGAAGGAAGGAAGGAAGGAAGAAAGGAAAATGCTGAGCAGTAGGGGCTTTGTTTCTATGTAATAAGAAGCCTGGGTCTGGAGAATGTACATAGTACGTAGTTTGAACACAACAAATACTTCAATTTCAACAGCCCAGGTCCTGTGGACAGTTCATCTTGGCACAAGTCTGTTGAACAGACCAGGCATTCACAAACCAACCTGATAGACACCCATAGATTCCTAGCTCTTGTGTCAGAAATACATGTCTCCCAGGCACCACAGAAGCAAGCAAGCACTGGAAGAATGAGAACAGACACTGGTGTCCGCCCTCCAAGAACCTGAGTCAGGCATACTTGAGGTTTGGAGTGGGACCAAGCATGTAGCAAATGCTAAGGAAAAATGAGTCTTGGCCAGTGGCAAACACCTCATATTTCAAGTGGGGATTTTATGTGTATCTCTTTCTTGGTTTTATGGGTTCCCATGGAATCATCTCAGCTAAGTGGTTAATAATTGGGTAATTTATTATTGTTATTATTACCATTAATAATAGTAATTTCTAATAATAGTAACTTTTAACTCTATGTAGTTATTTTTCCCTGGATCTGAAGCCCTTCATAACTATCATGGTAATTCTGTTGATCATTTAACTAAATTGTCACTGCTGATCACTGCTGCCTTACTGCTTGATGCCATCAGCTTTCCCTTTGTCCCCAACCATATGAGGCTTTGTCTCCTGGCTCACTGAGCAGACAAGCTGGCACCGGGCACTGCCCTGTGATGGTGGCAAAAAATCTGTCCAACATTTTTTCCCTGTCTCTCTTTTTATCCTACAGCAGAAGTATTGGGAAGCCCTAAACTTGGAGCAGGTATGAACAATTGTGCTATCTCTTTTTCAGGAGGGACTTTTATGCCTTGATTTTAGTTTCTATTTTTTTTTTTTTTTTTTATTGTTGGTGTTGTTAAAACCTCCTTTAGTGAAAATGAGAATGGAGTCCAGTGCTTGTGGCTCACAATTGTAATCCTAGCTACTCAGGAGGCTGAGATCCAGGAGATTGTGGTTGGAAGCCAACCCAGGCAGAAAAATCTGTGAGATTCCATCTCCAAAAATAACCAACAAAAAGCCAGGCTACAGGTGTGGCTCAAGTGGTAAAGTGCCAGTGGTGAGTAAGCAATCTGAGGGAGCTTAGGACTCTGAATTCCGTTATAAATTAAATAAATAGCATGCAGGCCAAAGGTGTAGCTCTGTGGGAAAGCACCTGCCTAGCATAGGTGAGACCCTAGGCTCCATCCCCAGCACCACATAAGAGAAGGAAGCAAAACGGAGATGCAGTGATGAGGATGGGTGGGATTTCAGCAACCTTACTTCCAAGTTCTTTCTGCTTTGGGGCTATTCATGATAAATCCAATCAAGGAGAGACTCAGGGAGGATGCATACCCAGTGAAGAAACGTGATTTGGAACAGGATCTGTGAGCCGGCGGAGTAGCTGCAGGTCACCAGTGCAGTACTGGGTGTGGCTGTTATGATAAAGTCCCATATGTTGTTTTTCTTAGGCCTGGGGCAGCTGGTTGCGGTCTCCACACCACCCCAGCCCCTGGGAACAAGAGAGCGCATGTTTTGACAGCCCAGTACCGGTCATCCCCCGGGACTGCTTCTGATGTCGCAAATTGATTTTATTATGCCTGCTTTCCAGCCATGTGTTCGTTATGGAGACTCTGTTGCTGTGCCTTTTTAAAAATTTTTTTTATTGTTACCATAAAGGTGATGTACAGAGGGACTGTGTTTACATAAGTAATGAGTACATCTCTTTTTGCTCTTTTTTTTTTTTAAATGCTGTGTCTTACTATGTAGCCCAGAGTACCCTTGAACTGTAGGGCCTCCTGCTTTAATCTCTTGAGTGTTGACATTACAAGCAAGCATCATTGTGCCTAGGCTTGACATAAAGGTGTTTTGTTGTTGTTGTTGTTGTTGTTATTGTTACTATTATTATTATTATTAATTTGCCAGTCCTGGGGCTGCAACTCAGGTCCTGGGCACTGTCCCTGAGCTTCTTTTGCTCATGGCTAGCACTCTACCACTTGAGCCACAGCATCACTTCCAGCCTTTTCTGTTTATGTGGTACTGAGGAATCGAACCAATGGCTTCAAGCATTCTAGGCAAGCACTCTACCATTAAGTCACATTCTCAGCCCCTTGATATAAAGTTATTTGGGCTGGGGATGTGGCACAGAAGTTCAGCATTTGCCTAGCATACATAAGGGCCTGTATCAGATCCCCAATCTTGAAAATAATGTTCTGGGGCTGGGAAGGTGGCTCAGTGGTAGAGCGCTTGCCTTGCATGCCTGAGGCCCTGGGTTCGATTCCTCAGCACCACATAAGCAAAAAGAAAAAAGCTGGAAGTGGTGCTGTGGCTCAAGTGGTAGAGCGCTAGTCTTGAGCTGAAGAGCTGAGGGACAGCGCCCAGGCCCAGAGTTCAGGCCCCACGACTGGACCCAAAAATAAAATAAAATAAAATAAAATAATGTTCTGCAGATTTAGAAGCCAGAGATGAGGCATGTGCATGTGCATGGTGGCACATGTCTGTAATCCCAAGTTTGCAGACAATTACAGGATTACAATCTTGCTGAGAGAGGATTATGTGTCTGGGAGCAACCTGGGCTATATAGCATAGACCCTATCTCAAAAGACAAAAAACAAGTTTAGTGTGGTGGCTTATACCTGTAGTCTCAACTACTCTGGAAGCTGAGCTCGTGAGGATTGGAGGTTTAAGACCAGCCTAGGCAAACCAAGACCCCATCTTAGGTGTGGTGGGTTGGGTTGAGTATGTAGTCTCAGCACATGAAAAGTCATAGATAGGTAGGAGAATCATGATCCAAGGCTGGCCAGGGGTAAAAAAACTCAAAACCCTACCTGAAAAATAACTAAAGCACACAAAGTGCTAGGAATATGGCTCAGGTAATAAGAGTACCTACTAGCAAGCACATAGCCTTGAGTTCAAGCTCAAACTCCAGTACTATCTGGGGAGTGGGAGAGAGAGATTTTAATATTTTCTACGACTTAATCTACTTTAAAGAGTTCACCTGAGCAAAATGGCAGTTGTTTGAGTTAGCAGGCAGTTAAATATATCAGGATTAGCACGAATACCTCTTAAGTAGCTATTGATGGAGTTGAAATAATGGTTATCAACCATCAGAACATCTGAGAGGCAGCAAGGGAGCTGCCAACAAGCCAGGACTGTGGGGACCTGAGCATCAGACTCCATTACCAGCAAACAGGGGTCTGCTGCTGTACTTGGTCCAGGCACATTCTGAGATCTCTGGTCTAGACTGCAGCTTCAGAAGGGCACACTGTGCAGGGCACTGGCAGCTCACGCCTATCATCCTTAGGAACTACTCTGAGGATCATGATTCCAAGCCAGCCCAGGCAGGAAAGTCCATGAGACCCTTATCTCCAATTAGCTTCCAGAAAACCAGAGTAGAGCTGGGGCTCAACGTGGTAGAATGCTAGTCTTGAGCCCCAAAAGCTCAAGGACAGTATCCAGGCCCTGAGTTCAAGCCCCATACCGAGGGGGTGGGGAGAAACACCAGAAGAGCACCTAGTCTAGTCAGAGAAAAGAACAGGTACCTACTGCTTTAGGCAGCTGGGTCAGAGGCTGAGGGGCCGGGGAGCTGTTTTACTTGGAATCTTGGATAATATCAGCAAAGAGTTTGGTTAAAGGACTCATCCAGGTCTGTGACCACAACTGAGAAGTGGGCACCAGGAGGTTGGCCTAATCCCAGTTAGGTACTGAGAGCTGAACTACATGAACTAAATCGGCTTGGTCCCATGGTTGCAGAGTCGCTGGAGATGCAGGGATCATTTAGTGTTTTATGTTGTTTATTTAGTTATTAGTGCCAGTACTGGGGCTTGAACTCAAGGCCTGGGTACTGTCCTTTGAACTTTTTCACTGTACCACTTGAGCCACGGATCCACTTCTGGCTTTTGGGTGTTTAATTGGATATTAGAAGCTCACAGATAACTGCCAGTGGCTCACACCTATAATCTTAGGTACTCAGGAGGCTGAGATCTGAGGGTCATGGTGGGAAGGCAGCCCAGGAAGGAAAGTCTGTGAGACTCTTATCTCCAATAAACTACTCAGAAAAAGCCAGAAGTAGTTCTATGGCTCAGGTGGTAGAGTGCTAGCCTTGAGTAAAGAGAAGTTCAGGGACAGTGCCCAGGCCCTGAGTTCAAGCCCCAGGACTGGAGGAGGAAGAGGAGGAAGAGAAGGAAGAGGAAGAGGAGGAGAAAAATGAAGAAGAGGAAGAAGAGGAGGAAGAGGAGGAGGAGGAAGAGGAAGAAGAAGAGGAGGAGGAAGAAGAAGAGGTCATCGTCTGATAGTCCTTTCTTTCCAGGCTGGCTTTGAACTATGAGCCTCAGATCTCATAGCTTACTGAGTAGGTAGATTACAGGTGTGAGCCACCCATATCTGGTTTTAAGGATCTTTTTTAATACAGTAAGTTTTTAAGTCACCAAGTAGTAGAATTTGATTCCGTTTTTTTTTTTTTTGGGGGGGGGGGGGAGGTCCAGTCGTGGGGCCTGAACTCTGGGCCTGTCCCTCAGCTCTTCAGCTCAAGGCTAGCGCTCTACCATTTGAGCCACAGCGCCACTTCCGGCTTTTTTTTATTTTTGCTTATGTGGTGCTGAGGAATCGAACCCAGGGCCTCATGCATGCAAGGCAAGCGCTCTACCACTGAGCCACCTTCCCAGCCCCCTTGATTCCATTCTTAACAGTAAATCACTTGAGGTTCTTTTTTCAAACCAAACTGTTTATAGCCAACATAACAAACATTCTCAGGGAGCCTTGAAGACCTTACCTGAGGCTCCAAGGCTCCTGGCTCAGCTTAAGTCTGGGCAGCTGGCAGAGTTCTGAGTGCATGTTCATGCCTAGGTCTGTGATCTTGCCCAAAGAGATTATCCTGCCCAGGCTGACATATCCTTTATCACCATTGCTTCTTGTATCTGGGTCACTGGACAGTGTCAAATATGACTTGACAATTCAGCATCCTCAGTCACAGAATCTCAGAAATCGAAGAGACCATAATATCTAGTTGCTGATTCAACCACACAGATAACACACAGTGAAACCAAGGCCCAGAGAAGAGAAAGCAAGCTAGTGGCTGGAGGACCTGCTCCCACTTAGCCTCTGTAGCTCGGACTTCTAAATAGCCCCAAGCACATGGTTCTCTATAGTATCATCTTAGAAGGGCACAAGGAGCCAGGTGCCAGTGATTCAGTCCTGTAATCCTAGTTACTCAGGAAGTTGAGATCTGAATTGGAGGTTCAAAGCCAGCCAGGGCAGGAAAGTCCATGAAAATTTTATATTCAATTAACCAGCAAAAGCCAGAAGTAGAGCTGTGGCTCAAGTAGTAGAGCAGCAGCCTTGAGCAAAAAAGGGAAGGGACAGCAACTAGGCCCTGAGTTCAAGCCCCAGTACTGGTGTGTGTGCACACGTGTGCATGTGCACGCATACACACACACATACACACACACAAAAGAAGGGCAGGATAACTTGGCAAACAGCTGCATCAATGCTATGCATACATTTATTTTCACCCATCATACCTACCTCTGCAAATTCTACTTGCTATATTTATGGGTCAGGATGATGAACCCACCATTGGCAGTGCCCACCACCTGGATTGGGTTTAAGTGTTTAAGTCCACGGAGCCACAATGTAAGAACACCCTCTGGGGGTTATGGACAGATCTGCACCCTGCTCCTTAGGAGTTTATCATCTTCGATAAGGCAGATGGCCAATAAAGGCCCAGGGCTGGGGCTGAGAAGGTGGCTCAGTGGTAGAGTGCTTGCCTTGCATGCATGAGGCCCTAGATTTGATTCCTCAGCACCACATAAGTAGAATAAGCTAGAAGTGGTGCTGTGGTTCAAGTAGTAGAGCACTAGCCTTGAGCTGAAGAGCTCAGGGACAGTACCCAGAGTTTAGGCCCCATGACCGACAAAAAAAGAAAAGAAAAGAAAAGAAAAAAGGCCAGGGCTGTTGGTGTGTAGGTGGAAACAGAAAGAGGAGGGGAACTCACTGGGCTGCAGGATCAAGATAGGACTCCTTCCCTGGGCCACAGGGTAGACATAGTCTCACCCAGGACTGAATTAGTCATTAGGAATTTGGAGGATGATGGGAATGTGACTCAGCCTGACCGGATAAGGGTTTGCTGAAAGCAGGGGACAGTGGAAAAGGGGCGGGAAGCAGAGTGGGAAGGGGAAGTGGGGCTATTCTGTTGAGGATGACTGTTTATTAATTCCCTGCCTTAGAGCTATACTTACCTCAGGTACTAGGAAAACTGGCCAGGACTGGAGATGTGGCTCAAGTAGTAGAGTGCCAGCCAGGCAAGCCGAGCAAAAGCTCCACCCTTGTGTTCAAGCTCTGGTTCTGCCCTCCCCCGGCCCCCTATCCCCCTCTCCCCCCTCCCCACATGCACACAAAAGAAGACTACAATATCAAAGTCTGTTGTAGTGGGGCATACCTAAAATTCCCTCACTCATTCCAGCTACAGAGTAAAACTCTGAAGTCCAAAAAAAAAAAAAAAAAACACATGTGCTGGTGGTGCATGCCTATAATCCTAGCTACTCAGGAGGCTGAGAGCTGAGGATCGCAGTTCAAAGCCAGCCCAGGCAGGAAAATCTCTGACTCTTATCTCCAATTAATCACAGAAAAAGCTGGACATGGTGCTATGATTCAACTGGTAGTGGGCTAGCCTTCAGTCAAAAGGAGCTCAGAGACAGCATCCAGGCACATAGTTCAAGCTCCAGGAATATCAAAAACAAAAATAGGGTGGGGAATATGGCTTGGTGGTAATGCTTGCCTAGCATGCACAAGGGTTCAATTCCTCAGTACCACATAAACAGAAAATGCCGGAAGTGGCATGTGAATCAAGTGGTAGAGCACTAGCCTTGAACACAAGAAGCTCAAGGACAGTACCCAGGCCTAGTACAAGCACCAGGATTGGCAAAAAAACAAACAAACAACAGGAGGCTGGGGGCTGGGAAGGTAGCTCAGTGATAGAGCGCTTGCCTTGCATGCCTGGGGCCCTGGGTTCGATTCCTCATAAGCAAAAAGAAAAAAAGCTGGAAGTGGTGCTATGGCTCAAGTGGTAGAGTGCTAGCCTTGAGCTGAAGAGCTGAGGGACAGTGACCAGGCCCAGAGTTCAGGCCCCACGACCGGACCTAAAAAACAAAAAACAAAAAAATCAGTAGGCTGAGATGGAGGATTCTAATTCAAAGCCAGCCTGGGCAGCAAAGTCTGTGAAACCTTATCTCCAACTAATGACCAGAAGAGAAGTAGAACTGTGGTTCAAGTAGTAGAATGCTAGCCTTCAGAGAAAAAGCTAAAGGAGAGCAACCAGGCCCTGAGCTCAAGCCCCAGTATCAGCACACACATACACAAGAAAAGAATAGAAAAGAAATCCTTGTGAAGGTAAGCAGACCGGCTTCCTGTCTTGTGTGTGCTTGGATCATTGGGACCAGGACTGGGATTTGGGGATTGTGATAGATGGGAAGGGTCTGTTTCATGATGGTATCCTTTGTGCCTTTTCCCAACAGTGGGACCCTGAAGATGTGAATCTTGAAATGAACAGAGACAATATGGAGATCCTCAGATCCCAGGTGCACAGGGCCTCACAGAGGCCCATGGACTTGACCCCCTGATGATTTCTATCTTCAGCAGTCAGTGCGTCAGCTCAGAGCCTAAGGTCAGGCACTTATCAGGATTGAGCAAGATCAAACTACAGTGACATCTGTGGCAGGAGCTGAAGCTGTTGAGATAACTGAGAGCTGTCACTGAGCTTGGCTGGTCAGGATGGAACTATGACTCTGGGTCCTATAGATTGACCTAAACATGCACGGTTTGTTCTGAAGATCAGAATTTCAAAGATGGCCCCTGCTTTGTAAATATAACACCTGTATTATTTGACTGAAGGACATTGGACTGGATGTGGTGGCACATACCTGTAAGCCAAGCACTTGGGAAGTTAAGATATAAGGATCATGAGTTGGAAGCCAACCTAGGCTATTTAGCAAAACCAGACTTAAAATGGGGGTGAGAATTGGAGGAGCCTTCAGATCCTGTTTCCTGTCCTCTCTTTTCCTCAGTTCAACCATCAACAGATGACATGAGTTCAACTAACAAATAGCTGTTGTGTGTGGATCTTAGCAGCGCCCCTGCTGTGAGACCTGGCTCAGCTCAGGAATGCCATGCATCTGCTGAGGACTTGTGCCACAGGCACATGACCAGCCAACACCTGCCTTCCACTCTGTAGCCACTCTCTGCAGCTATGCAGTGGCCTGCTGGGTGAGCCAGGTGGCTGGGAGATAACTGGTTTTGCAAGAACAAACAAAGCTCTAGGTAACAGGACTCCCTGCAGCCTGGCAAAGCGTGTGCTGAAGCAGAGTTTGCATATGAAAGAGCTGGTGTGCGGGAGAAAATGAGAAGCCTGCAAAGCCTGAGGACACACTGGGAAGTGTCAAATTCAAGCACAACATTACTTTGGTACGGTGATCATAAGCGCTGGGGTGAAAGGGAATGGGACCAGGTGGGAGCAAACGCTGACATGAATAAATGGTGTCTGAATGCGTTGAAGGATCTCACTGTGGAGCACAGTGGGAAGGCTGTGTTCCAGCATGGTCACAGCAGTCTGACACAAGGGCAACTGGAAAAACGCCAGGAGACACAGCTCCATTCCTGGCAGAACCACAATGACCTGTGTGACTCAGCAGCCACTGCCCCGTTCTTCTGAGGGGTGGCACGAGCCCTGGCTGTGGGAAGAGTTACATACAGAAGCAGGGCGGGGGTGGGGGGAGGTGAAGAGGAGTCCTGCAGGCCTCTCCATAGAGCTTAATCCCACATCATGCTAAACTAGAACCAAATTTAAAGCCACATTATCATCCCCAATATCTATTCGGGGTCCCTGGTTGTCTTGTAAGGGAAAGTATACTATATCAGCTTTGCTTTGTGGTCTTAACCACTGAGGTCGTACTTTGAGGGAAGAGGAAAAGTTGAATGGAGGCCTAGGATGTAAGAGAGCAGACATTCCAGCAGACAAAATGGTAGAGAACCAGATGCAGTGGTTCACATGTGTGATTTCAGCTATATAGGACATATAAACAGGATAAACAGGACGGTGGTCCAGGCCAGCCTCACTGTGTGTGCACAAGATCCTATCTCATCCAATAAAAAGCTGGGCAGGGTAACACTTTACTGTCACCCTAGCTATGGGAGAAGTATAAATAGGAGGATAGCAGTCCAGGCCCACTAGGGGAGGGAGAAGGAACTAAAGCAATAATGGCTGGAATGGCTCAAGTAGTAAAGCATTTGCCTAGCAAATACAAGCCCTGAATTCAAACCCAAGTACTGAACAGAAAAAAGTACAGAGGGTTGGAGAGGGGAAAGGGTAGACACTAGTCAAGGAAATAGAATTGTGATGTGGCTAAAACAGATGGTGCAGTATGGGTTGTAGGTGGTCACAAAGTGTTGAAAGGTAAATCATCCCAGAAGCTACATTTTAAAATATAGAATATTGGTGTCTTTATTATACAGTTAACAGGCTGCAGGCCGCCAGTTGTTACAAAGGCCTGCAGCATGCAAATACACATAACCCAGCTAGGAAACATGCTAAAGAGGAAAGAAATAATAAAAGCAATACTAAGAAGCCAATTCAGCTCCAATGGAGAGCTGAATTGAGATGCCATGATGACTGGAGACGAGACAGGAGACAGGACAAAGGACACGATCATGGAGACACACGTGGCATGGAGTCCAACAGCTAGACTGGTCCGTGCCTAAAGAGGTCAGCGCAGGAGGCAGATCCTCAGGAAATTCCTAGTCCCTGGCACTAGACTGACAGATTCAGTTATCTATCAGTAAGTGCCTGCCCCTCCCTCCAGGGGTCCAGGCATGGCCATTACCTGGGAGGCAGGTGATTGAGGGTGGTTGTAGGAGGGGCTGGTTTCCTTCTCCCAGCATGAAGACAAGATGCCAGACCCTACCATCCACCATGTGGCCAATATGGCGCTGGCCAGACCTGACCTCCTTACTTCAAAAGAACCTAGAAAAGAGTCAAACTGTGTCATCTGGTTAGTTGGTACTTGATCCTATGCCTGTGAAAGCTCCTAGAATAGGAAGGTGACTGACTTGGTCAGGTAGGCTAAGAGTGGGTAGTAAGTTCCTCATCTTCATGGACTTTTCAGGAAGCAGGAATGTACTCATGGTACAGTGAATGTGGGCAGCAGATTGGATCTCAAGTATTAAGAAGGAAAGCAAAAGACAGGAGGATCGGATGACATTTCCTATGTTTGCCTTTATCTCATTTCTCCAGCAAAGGCCATATCATGATCCCTGAGGTACCAGTAGCTGGCTGGGTCTGAGGGAAGTGGATATTACTCAAGAACATCAAATGATCTTGCTGTCGCACAAACATCTCCCTTGATCTTATCATCCTGCCTCCACTCCTCACAAACTAGTTCCTATAATCATGGTCCCAGCTGGTCTCCAACCTCTCGCCTCTTCATCCACAGTGAACCATCACACTGAGGATTTTGGAAGTGAAGTCTGGCTTTATATGCAAAGCTGCTTATATGCAAAGCTCTAGAACCCTAGAGCCTTGGTGCAGAGATGCCAACTAACATGTCTTCCACCCAGTAAGAGTGGGCCTCTGTCCCAACTGAGAAAGCCATCAGGCAGCTTAGGAGGCCAAGAGAGCAACTGAGCCCCTTTCTCTGATGACCCGCTGAGTGCAAAATATCTGCTTATACTGCAGAGAGGCTAGGGAACAAACTGTGCAGTCATCTTCCCTGCCCATCCACCTGCAGAAGGTGTGACAAGAGTCTTTGTGGCTGTAGCTGGATGACAGTGGCTCACGCCTGCAATCCTCACTACCCAGGAAGCTGAGATCAGAGAATCACAGCTTGAAGCCAGTCCAGGCAGGAAAGTCTGAGACACTGTTATCTCCAGTTAACCACCAAAAGACAGAAACAGAGCTGTGACCCCAGTGGTAGAGTACCAACCTTGAACAAATAAGCTAAGGGACACTACCCAAGCCTTGAGTTCAATTCATAGTACCGAAACACACAGACACAGACACACAAACACACACAGACACACACACACACATGTATGTTAGTTAAGCTGCCTATTTTCTGCATATTACACAGCATATTACCTAACCTTTATGAATCCCTAAGCCCACCCAGAAAGCCTGCAGTAAAGACTAAGTGAATTAATACATTATCAAAGTGTATCAGATGTGACTAAAAGTGTGTATGTGTGTGTGTGTGTGTGTGTGTGTGTGTGTCTTGGGACTTGAACTCAGAGTCTGGGCACTGTCACTGAGCTTTTATTACTCAAGGCTAGTACTCTACTCTTAAACCACAGCTCTACTAACTGCTTTTGCTAGTTAATTGGAGATGAGTCTCATGGACTTTCTTGCCTGGGCTGACTTTGAACCATGATCTTCAGATTTAAGCCTCCTGAGTAGCTAGGATTACAGGCATGAACCACCCGCACCTGGCCTAAAACTGTTTTTGTTTGTTTGTTTGTTCTTCATTTTTTTGTTGGTTGCAGGGCTTGAACTCTGGGCCTGGGCACTGTCCCTGCATTCTTCAGCTCAAGGCCAGCGCTCTATCACTTGAGACAAGGCTGGTGGTTTATTGGAGATAAGAGTCTCACAGGCTTTCCTGACAGGGCTGGCTTTGAACGGAGACCCTCAGATCTCAGCCTCCTGAGTAGCTAGGATTACAGACCTGAGCCACCAACACCTGGCTTAAAAGTGGATTTTGAAGAGAGTTAATTTCCGTTCCTCCATACTCCCCAATACACATGCTGAAAGACAGTAACCAAAGAATGAGAGCCAAGATGAAAGGTATTGGAGATCTGGATCCCTTTAACAATCACCATAATCAATGATTATCCAGCCCTTACTAAGCTCTAGGAGAGGGGAGGATTTTACTTCCTTCATCTGTCAAAGAAATATGCATATTTTAGGGAGAGCAATGATTACTAAGCTTTTCTTAAAGCCTGTTTAAATCCTGAACAAGTTATCAAACTCAATATGATGAAAGGCCGTTTGAGCACCATGTGGGATTATACTCACATCATGCCTGTTACACTGAGCTATGGACTACTAGTTTAAGGAGAGGCACTGAGCCAAGGAGCATGAATGGGCTCGGGCTTCCACCTTGGATTCAATATCCTATTTGTCATTTCCCTTTCTGGTTCACAGTTTCCTCATCTATAAAATGAGAGGTTAAATTTCTTTCCTTTTATAGGCATGTGACTCAAGCTGTAGAGCACTTGCCTAGCAAGTACAAAGCTCTGAATTCAGTCTCCAGTACCACACCCACCAAAGAAGTTCCTATCTTTCCTTTTTTTCTTTTATGAGCATGCCAGTCAATACATTTCCCACAAAAAGACTGATACATTTCTAAACACTCAGGAAAGAGATGTTGTCATTCTCAATGAGTGCCAAGATTCTGGGCACTTCTTGTGCTGCCCTGTTACGTTTTCCAATGGTGCAAGCACTGATCTATGCACTTCGACCTGAATTTTTTTTTTCCTTGAAGTTAAAAGTTGAGATGCTGCAGGGCGCTGGTGGCATTGACTCCAGGCGGCTCCC